CTTTCAATAAACCAATAGACATCAGCAGTACAGTTATCCCAGCTATCCATATATATATTTCCCTTCCTTCATTCTTTCTTTTCTCCTTTCCCTCATCCCAGTTGGTGAAACTCTTGATTCTGCCTTACAACATTTTTCTGTCTTACCCATTTCTATTAATTAAAATAGAGTTGCATATAGACAAGGTAAAATACAATAATGGCCTCATGTACTTATCTCACATGCCTGGAGTCTCAAGTCGATTACTGTAAAACCTGTACAATAGCCTTGGAACATTATAGACTCAGTTATTTGCCATTTTTCATAGCTACGTTTTGTATATGTTCCTCCACCTGTGTGTATGTGCTCACGTGCATGTGTAGTGTTGGTGATGGTCTTACACATTCTAGGCAAGTGCTGTATCATTGAGCTACACCCCTATCCTGAGCCTTCATCTTGATGCTCAAGTGTCCATGTTTCTTTGTATTGGCTCTGTCTCTTCCAATGTAACCTACGTGTTCTGAGTAAGAAGAAAGAGGCAAGGTGGCATTAGTAACTTCCTTCTTACATGTCATTAGCAAGGAACATGTTACATGACCAATACTGCTGCAAGAGTGCTGGTAAATAAATTTTGAGAAGCCACTTGATAACGGGGATGGGAAATAAAGACTGGGTAAAGTGACAACGCTGAACGCTATACTATGTGGTTGTAGTTCTACTACTATACTCTCCATTTGTCTAAGTTTTCTTTTTTTGAGAACAACTTGAGCTATTTTAGATTCATTATTCTTAAATATGCTGGCAACTTGTCAAGTAATTAAACCATTTCATAATCCCTAGGAAAAGCACAATCAACAGTCTGAGTTTACTACTGAAAGCTTGATAGCTACTGTAACTGATATGTTTGGAGCTGGAACAGAGACGACAAGTACCACCCTGAGATATGGACTCCTGCTTCTGCTGAAGCACACAGAGGTCACAGATATGCCCACAGATGACCAGGAGGTAAATTTCAGAGCTGGGAACACTGGAGGTTTCTTCCGTCTTGGGTCTCTTAGAGAAGCAAAGCTCCTTTGTTGAAATTTCTGCCTCACTAGTTGTTATGGGTAGAAATGTGATGAAAGGACAAAAAGGAACAAAATTTTTCACAAAATGGGAGAGCAACTGAAAGAAGGGAGACAG